GTCACGTTTATGTATGGCAACAGCCGAAAAGACGGAACCGAACGAATAACACACCATCCTCTTCTGTGCAACAACTGTAAACCTCCTTGTGCCAACACTGTATCGTCTGTGTAAGATTGTGTATGTCTCGGTCACCATCTATATGGGTCATCCCTGCCGAGGTTGACGACTCTAGCCACGGATCATCGAGTTCGCGCGTGACTCAACTCAGGTATGCACAATCACCTTTTGTTACGACTCACGTCTGTCTCACCTTACGGTGAGCATCTGGTTAATTCTACGGACGGATGGGTATTCGATACAAGCCCATTCCCTTCGTCGCCGGTACGCTCTCGCGAGTGCCAAATAGCTGTCGAACCCACCACATGTCGTTCGACCTACGATCGACTAACCCCTCCGTCACCGGTATGCTCTTACGAGCGCCAAGTACCCGTTGACACATATACAGACCGTCCGCCAGATGAATGGTCTCATACCTTGTTGCCAGTACGCCCATCTGGGTGCCAAGTATCCGTCAACCCAGCCTCTGGCAGCTCCCTCAAGGAGCTAGAACATCACTCGTTGCCGGTACACCCAATTGGGTGCCAAGTACCTGTCAACCTATTCTCAGGAAGCTCCCTCAAGGAGTCATTATCTCACTTGCTACCGGTACGCTCCCTCGAGCGCCAAGTACCTGCTAGCCCTATGTCCTCGACTAGTCCCGCTCTGGACATTCTCTCAACCTGTGATCCTATACACCCACGCACGGTACACTCACGTAATGAGTGCCAAGTATCCGTCGTAACAGACTCCCGTTCACCGCGAGGCCTCAGCTTTCTGTCAAAAGCTCCACAGCCATCGGACAATTCTAATTACACGACTAAACCGCCCTACATACATGAGGTGGACGATTCTAAGTCGTCTATAAGGACGGAAAGAAATGGATTGCCCTTAACCCATTTCTTTAACAGACCCCTCTCTCTATAGCCCACAGCCCTGTGTGTAAACAGCCTATCCTAAGGCACAACCTACTGTGGGTAAGAAAGTGAGAAGAAGGTTAACTTCTCACTTTCCCACAGTGGCCCAATATGGCGAAAACTTCCGGGGATACCCGGAAGTCACATGAAGGTAGGATCCAGGGACCGGAGCATGTGGTGCATGGATCATGCAGTGCAGGAAGCATGCGCGGGAAGTGGAGCGGGTCCGGATGCGGGTCCGGGTCCGGGCTAAGTCAGGGTATGTGCCCTGACACATGGCAGAGTATAATGCTTGAAATCATTGAGAAACATTGGCCATTCCCCCACCTCCACCCTAATTCCCTTAATATTCAATTATCTTTTCCATTTTCCTGTCTACTACTAGAGTGCGTGCGTTGCACGTGTCCCCTGCACAGCTCTGAAAACATTTTCATTGGTACATGGAAGACAAAAAAAAAAGTACAAAGTAGTGAGGGGGGAAGAAACTCAGCAAAACTGCAAAAGATATGTCCCACATTGTGGCAAATTTTTCAGATTTTATTATATGGAACATCTTGATTTTATTTCTGGATGTTTTTATGTCAGGGCCCAGCACCCAAGCCCTGACCCCACACCACCTCCTCCCCTTCTCTACCAGTTGTTGTTTCACTGCCCTGTACACTTGTGTGAGCACGGAAGTGTGAGAAGACCTCCAGACACTGCCACAGTTCTGGGCGAGCTGCTCGCCCAGAATGTTCCCATGCCCTCTGAGTACTGCCACCCGGACCCTCCCCATAGTCACACCACTCAACTGGGGAACTGTACAGTCTTTCCTTTTATGGGCGCCATGCAGGGAGTTGAGAAGGTTACCCTTCTTCTCAACTTAGTGCCCGCATAGAGTGCCCACATAGCATAAGAGTACTTCCGGGTCCCAGGCCGGGCCCTGACATTTTACTTCATGTTGTTCCATGTTGCCATGAATTTTTTTTCGAATTTTTACCTTAAAACCTTTACCCATGTTTGGAATCTCCAGATTTTAATACTAATTTAATCCATATTTATCTATGTATTTACTGTACATTGTAATAGGAAAAGCATAACTGAAAAGTGACTAATACAAAAGTATTGCTACTACTATTGGTCCACACCCATTAATGAAAACAATAAAAAATGACTGATACAGCAAGACATTACTACTTGAACCCATTTAGCTACTTATTTAGCTACTTATTTAGCTATCTATTTATCTACCTATTTTATCTATTTTGTATGCCAAAGTCACATGGGAACAAAAAAGAGTTGCTCCCATGGGAGGGAGGTGCTGGTTTTGAGTGGGGGTATTAGTACTTTTGTGCAAATGTCTGTGTGTGCAAAAGTTGTGGGAGGTGAAACTCATTCGCTTATGTGGATTTCCTGAACATATACAGGTGATTTACACATAAACCTATCATATCTCTGTCAATTCTCATCCGTTTCTCCTCGGGTTTTTTTTTATGGACGCGTCTCAATGTCTTCTACACTTCGTATCATTGTTCCAACTCATCGTTCGGCGATCCCGAGGAGATTATGGCGATTTTGCTCATTTCCCACACACAAACTGTATGGCATTAATCTTATATCTCGCTTAATACAGCACCAAATGTTCTATAACTTTACGTACCATTTGATATATTATTAGCGCAAGTATTAGGTATTTTTACATATTTTTAAGACATCTGTGAAGCGCTGGAGCTGGTTTCCCACGCACAGATCATGCGCAGAACTGACACTGGATTTGTATCTCTGTCAGTTCTTGACCGTTTCTCGTCAAATTTTTTTGCAATGGGCCCGTGCCAACTTTTTATCTATTTGGTATTGTTAGTGTAAGTCGTGAATCAGCGTGTATGAGGAAATAGCACGACTTTTCCACAAATAGACCATGTACATTAGTATCTCTGTCAATTATGATTCGCTCTTCGTCGGGTCTCTTTTAATGGGCTTGTACTAATGCCCTTGCTATTTGTTATTATGGGCGCACATTGCGAGTCAGCGTTTATGAGGCAGTGGAATTTTTTTTCACAAAAAAAAGCATATACATAAGTATCTCTGTCAATTCGCATTCGTTTCCCGTCATATTTTGCAAAGAGGCTTTCACTGACTCTTTTGTTATTTGGTATTATTGGAGCACATTGCGAATGAGGATGTATGAGGCAGTGGGACGGTTTTTCACAATTTTTCACAACAAAAAAGCATGTACATTCGTATCTTTGTCAAGTCTTGTTTGTTTTTCGTCAGGTCTGTTTCAATGAACGCCTACAAACGTCCCCTATACTTTATATTATTGGCACACGTTGTCAAACAGCCTGTATGAGGCCATGGACACTATTTCCCACACACAAAACATGTGCTGGCATGGGCCACCACTTGTATCTCCCTCAGTTCTCAACCGTTTACCTTGTAGTTTTCTGCAATGGGATCAAGAAAACGTTCTCTCAATTTGTTATTATTGCACCACGACAGGCTAAGCTGATGGCATAACTGTTGGAATTTGTACACGTGGTCTTGGGAACCTAAATGCTAAAATATGGACATTCTGGGAGTCGAACTGCAGAACCCTGCATAGGTACCAAGAGTGTGTTACCATTACACTAAATGCCTGCATTAGGCGGAGGTGGTTTCTAACATGTTGGAGGAACTATGTGCTATGGGAGGCCGGACGAGTTTTCATACAGCCACATTCCTGCAGTAGCATGACTACTTAGTCTGTCATATCCCGGAATCCCGACCCCGTGCGCTCCCACCACATCACACCTTCCTAACAATTTCACCATCCCCTACACCACGCCTCCCCACTCCCCAAGTCACCTCCCCTCCTGACTGTCTCAGCTCCGGTCTGGTTGCGGCACACCGAGCCTTGGCCACTCCCATCCCGGAAGCTCGGTTCCAAGTCGGAACATTCAGAGACTCCAGATTTGCTCCGATATCCCGACGGACCTCCGACATCCCGTGACACACCCTTAAACCATTTCTCCACCCATTTCATCTATTTGAGTCACCCAACATCCTTCGGATACACAACTCCGCTTTCAGAGTTACCTGCTTCCTTCGGTGGCCCCACTCACGTCATCACTTATTAGTCACCCTCCACTCTTAGCATGACTATTTTCTCCTTACCATTCAGTCGGCTAACCCCCCCTTACCCATTTCTCGTTCCCATTCATTTCCGGTCTGCCCTCTATGGTCCGACACCTCGGTTCCCTGTTTAAAAGATATCGTTCGGGACCTTTCGGTACCTCTCAGTATCATTCGGCACCTTTCGGTGTCGTCCCATTGTCATTCGGACTTTGGCTAAGTCCTTTCCACTCCCCTTTATAAATACCCATAGATTAGAACCTGTAACTCCTCAGTTCTAATCTCGACTAAAATGCTACCCAAAGTCCCTCTGAGTGAATCCTGTTCCGTTCTACAAGATACCTCAGACATAAGAAATACAAGGACTAACTGAGACGTAACGGAGGCACAGCGCTCCCTCCGAGTCGCTGAGGCCGCATCCCTCTTAGAGCCTCTTGTACCATCCAGCAGAACCGGGCTTCCTGGAGAAGCTTCGGTCCACCACCGGAGCTCTTGGATTCCCCCTCTAGTTGAGCCCCACCTGCATTCGGACTCACGCATTTCCCCCTTCGATCCGGGTTTTTGACATAGTCACAACACCTCTTTTATATTTCGGACTAACCCATGCCAGGCCACGGATACATTCATTCATTTGAATTCATTTCCTTTTCCCTCAGTTCTTCACGCATATTAGCTGAGACTGAGGTTAGTTACATTCCTTTATTACTATTTCCTTTACTATTGTAACTTACAATATGTACATTACCTTCAGCTTCCCACTTATAGGTAATATATTAGTTCTTCACGCATATTAGCTGAGACTGAGCTTCCCGCTTATAGTCCAGCTCCGAGATCAAGTGTCGCTCATCAACAATAACTTTCATTGGCCATGGCCTCCACGAAGTGAATGAGAGGGACGTGACAGAGTGCAACGATGTTGCAGCTAAAATAGGGGATAACCTGGTCAAAAGATGTGATGGAAGTGGAGTGGATATTTATATCCTAGGTGCTGGCGTTGACCGTCGGCACAGCTGCTTTGGTATGAATCAGGTCATTCCCGGTAAGGTGCATATCTCTTTACACACTCTGTGTCATATATGTTCACTCATACCTATTTGTGTATGCAGATTTTTGGTCCATATAAGGATGGTTATAACGGTCATGACACATATGTTGCCACACAGGCAGTGGGGCTAGGGTATGGCCCAGCAACTGGTGCCAAGGTTATTTTGGTCAAGACTTGTGACGATGGTGGTGTGGGATATCTATCCAACCTGCTCAGAAGCCTCAGCTGGGCTTTTCAACAATCCGGCTTTCGTGAACGCCCTTCCATCATTGTACTATCTGCCGGCTTAGTTGGGGACAATTACTTGGACCAAGTCATCCAATCTCTCATAAACCATGGGTTGCACATTGTAATAGGTGCAGGGGATCAAAGCATGAATGCAGGAGATTTCAGTCCTCAACGTCTTGCTGGAGTTGACACCATTGATGCTATTGACAACGATGGCAATGTCGCAACCTTCTCCAACTGGGGACATGCCATCACTGCTTTCTACCTGGGTGTCAGGGTTAAAAGTGCCTGGACCAATAGCGAGACCGATTCAATAGAGCTGAGCAGTACTGACGTGTCAGCTGCAGGGGTTGTGGGGGTGTTAGCCATCGAGTTAGGTCAACATGCTCAAAGTCCTGATGCCCTAACCAAGAACATGGAGTGACATGCCATTGCATGAGTTCGGAATCCACCTAAGGACACCACAAACTTGGGGGTAGTCAGTTGGTGACTTCATCCCATTGAAATTGAAGTAGACATACATTCTGCAGGACCTGCCTTTTCAAACTTTCCCCTTTTCCTACCCACTTCTTGTACTCAGTTGTTTATGTGTTTGTAATTCATTTTGTTGTGGGAGAAACTAGCGATGTAGTTAAGCACTGTAGGAATGCAAAAATTACAACACTAAAACAACCAGAAATCATCTCGGAAAATTAGATAAAAATCATACAACCTCACGGACGAGAAATAAAAACAGTAATAAAATCATAACTCAGCAAAATGAATTAAAATAAAATATCAGAAAAATACTGAAGAACAGAGTCAATGAGCTGAACATCCACAGGAGCTTTCAAGTCTAGAGATTAAAAGATGGTCCAGAAAATGAAGAAAAACAGCAAATAAAACCACATAAAAACAAAAACAAGGTTTCCTGTATCAAATAAAATCTGAGAAATTCGCAATAATGTGGAAAAATAGTTTTATGAACCAGCCTAGTCAGCCATCTAATGGGGGTATTTACTAGTGGATGTCCTGGGATGATTCTATAATTCAATCAAATTTATCTTATTCAGGGTAGACATTCAAAACATAATGCCACAATTGAATCTGATTTCCCATGACAATCCTCAGGCTGCTCAACTGTCTGTGCACAATGCTGGCCACTGTCTGAAGGGGTGTCAGCACTGTTTCCCACAGTCTCAATGCACTTTATACAGATGGATAGCCCCTTTGAATAGCTTCCAGAATATATATTTTGAGATTGAATTGACCAATAAATCATTGAGGAACAAAATACTTTTTTGGATGTGAGTCTTTGGGTTAGTGTGGCTGTCCACCTCATGTCTGTGCACAGTGCTGGTGTCAGAAACGGTATTCGAGGTGATCGTGGGAAGCGGAGCAGAGTGCAGCGGCATGAGTGGTCACTTAGCTAATGTGCAACTCCATTGCAAGGCATCTTGGGAGGTGGGACTTTGGCTTCAACGACTCAGCTGGAGCGTTGTGCCACACATTCTAGGCTGTCCTGTATTTCAGGGTAGCGGGAGGACCTTGCGGCAACATTACTCAGGTGGGGATGAAACTTAGAGGCAAACTTAAGACGAGAGTACTTTGGGGGGATTTCTAGTCGATATTTGAACTGAGGTACATTGACAGTAAACTACAAGTATAAGTACAAAAGGAGAACAGAGAAGGGGCCGGTCGGTCCGGCATGGGACAGGAGCGGAATGGTAAGTGCGACAAAACTAAAAGAGCGACAAGGACCAGGGAAATGGAACAGAAGAAATGAATGGAACAGAGGACAGCGAAGTTGGGAGGCAGAATGAATAGGCCAACAATCTAGGCGCCAATATGGTGGCGGATCAGAATGTCAATATATGAATAAATCAAATGTCAATAAAGGAATAACCAAGTGTCAATAAAGGAATAAACCAAATGTCAATAAGGAGCGGATCAGTGGCGACAATATCAACTGCTAGTAAGTTAAGCGAATGAATAAGAATAAAATGGTGTCGGCTGAATGGCTGAGGAACTCAAGTGGTGGCAGGAGAAAGAAGGAGGTGCCGCTATGTGTCAGGGGACGGATCCTGGGTCCCCATGACCCCTCTCTCTATAGCCCACAGCCTAATCTGTGAACAGCCCTGGACAGGGCAATAACTCTACTGTGGGTAAGAAAGTGAGAAGAAGGTTAACTTCTCACTTTCCCACAGTGGCCCAATATGGCGAAAACTTCCGGGGATACCCGGAAGTCACATGAGGTGGGATCCGGGGTCGGATCATGCGGCATGCAGAGTGTGCGGTGCAGGAAGTGCGCGGGAAGTGGAGCGGGTCCGGACACGGGCTAAGTCAGGGTATGTGCCCTGACACTATGGGGCCGTAGACAGGAACCACTATCGGCGCTGCTAAGTGATGGACAACAGTGCGATTAACAGGCACAAATAATGGGTGCAAGAATGGGGGTGCAGATGATAGAAGTGGTAGAAAGGCAGGGACTTTGTGGGGCCATGACAGCTGGCCACTGTCTGGAGGGGTGTCCAGACTGTTTCCCACAGTGTTGCCATGGAACACACCCTGACTAGCCGGACCTGGATGTGCGCTTCCACCCCACATGCTCTGCACACTGCATGCTCTGGGCCCGGTTCCTATCCTTCATGTGACTTCCGGGTATCCCCGGAAGTTTTCGCCATATTGGGCCACTGTGGGAAAGTGAGAAGTTAACCTTCTTCTCACTTTCTTACCCACATGTCAGGGACAGCTCTGAAAGTGGCAAGGTCCCAGCATGTGGGACTCGGTGGGACGAATAGCGGCTATATGTAGTGGTGATCCCATCGTGGGGTGAGCATCCCCAACCACTTAGTCTGAAGTGGGAATGTGAGTTATCATTAAAGGGGAGGACTACACTACTTGCCTGAAGTGGGAATGTGAGAAGAAGGCTACTTCTTTGGTTCCCACTCCAGCTGTTATTATATACATGCGGGGTCGATTACATCACCCTTGCACACAGCCATGGCTCTCCAGGTGTCTCTGCAGGAGATCCCGAGAGGGTCTGTTGTAGGTGCGAGGTGAGCGTGGTGGCGGTGACGGCGATATGGGGATGGTAAGATACAGGAGGGGGAATGGGCATGCATGCCGGTGATACATACATTGAGCAGCAGGAAAGGTGGTCCATGTAAGAGAGAGAAAGAGAGAAAGAAAGAAGGAAGAAAGAGGAAAGGAAGAAGGTGCAGTGCAGAGTGGGGAAGTGGAGCGGGCGTCGGGTGGGGCATGTCAGGGCGTGCCCTGACACCACAGTAGGCAAGTGTATCTACTTGCCCCTTTTTTTATATCACTTTCTTACCCACAGTAGAGTTGTGCCCTGGACAGGGCTGTTCACAGGTTAGGCTGTGGGCCATAGAGAGGGGTCATGGGGACCCGGGGACCATCCCCTGACAACCTGCTGTGGTTGATGCTCAGTCAACACGGTCATGGGAGACTCCATTCCTATAACATCACCCCCCAGTCTCTACCAACTGTGTTGGGATGGATGAGAGGCACGCCGTTGACGATCGTCTTGATGTGGGGAACAGCTCCTAGATCGTGAATGGTGCCAACTGGAAGGATCATCATAAGGATCATCACGTGGACGCAATGAGGACATGTAGGAAGGTGTCAGGGACAGCTCCGAAAGCGGCGAGGTCCCAGCGTGAGGGACTCGATGGGACAGGTGTCGGCTATGCGTAGCGACGGTCCCGTTGCGGGGTGAGCGTCCCCAACCACTGAAGTGGGAAGTTGGTTATCATTAAAAAGGGGGAAGCTACAGTACTTACCTGAAGTGGGAAGTTGAGAAGAAGGCTGCTTCTTCTGTTCCCACCCCAGGTGCTATTATATACATGCGGTCAGGGTCACGTGGGAGGAGCCACGTCATCCCCGCACACAGCCGCACTCCCTTGGGTATCTCCGTGGGAGATCCCGGAGGTGTGCCGCTCTGTGAGCGGGAATGTGCGCGGTGGGCACGGCGATCGGGGGAGCGGGGTTAGGTGTGTTAGTAATACATAGAGAAGGGGAAGTCGACCATAGAAGGAAATAGAAAGAAAGAAGGAAAAGGGGAAAGAAGAGACAAAGGGTGATAGCGGGGAAGCGGAGTAGGGCGGCGCGGCGCGGGGTCAGGCGGGGTGTGCCCTGACAGAAGGTGGCATGTTTCTGTGATGGTAAGAAGGTGGTGCTGGATATGGGGCCTGGAGAGGAGGTGCAGCCAGATTGACTGTCATATCCATCCCCAGCCATCAACTTCCGATCCCTCCGATCCCTCCAGTCTACCTCTGCTCCTTCTTCACTAACCTCAGGGCTTCCGTATTCTGCAATCCCCTCAGTACCCCTCGATGGTCACCACCCCCTCCTTTCAATTTATTACCTACGCCTCCCTAAGTATGGAGCCCCAAAGACTTCCGGACAGCTCCGACGTCCGCTAGCGCACTCCCGCCTCTGCTGGGCAATACACTCGCCTGCCCTGCAGAGCCCACCTTCGGGCCTATCCCTCCTTTCCATTTCTGGGTTATCGCCTGCCTTTCTGTTAACCCCGTAACCCAACTTGTCGGTAATATTCAGTCGGCTAATGTTTAACCCCGTTAGTTCCGCTCGGCTCGGCTCCGCCATTTGTGGACCCATCTTCGCTGTAACTATATATATATCCAACTTGTACATAGGTTACACTTCAGTAATAAAATCGACTAGAGTTTACCCCCCTTCAGTTCTGGTTGCCAGTTAGTAAGTTAGGGCATGGACGTGTTACTTGGCACAGCGCTCCTGGCATAAGTCGCTGAGGCCGAAGCCTTCCACCATGGAGACTTTCCCTTGTCTCAACCTGGTCTCTGACATTGACCACGAATGCAGGTACGGCCATGTTGTCAGGGCACACCCGCCTGACCCGGGTCCACCCGGACCCACCCAGCCACACCACACCCGCTCCCCGCTGTCTATCCCCCTCCCCCCTCCTTCCTCCCTCTCCTCCCCTTTCTTTTCCCTCTTCTTTCCCCTTTCTTTATTTCATTCTTCTCATCTTCCTCTTCCTGTTTATTTCTTTCTATCTACATGGACCACCTTCCTTTGTATCGATGTACTATTGACCCGTCCGGCCCACACACCCCGGATGGCTTCCCGCTGTGCCCAGCATGCGCGCATGCAGCAGACGCTCTCGGGATCCCCCACAGGGACACCCGGATGCCTGCGGCTGCCTCCGAGGATGACGTGGCACCCGTCATGTGACTCAAGCCGCATGTACATAAATGTACCTGAAGTGGGAACCGAAGAAGTAACCTTCTCACATTCTCCACTTCAGGTAAGTAGTATAGTTTTCCCCTTTAATAATAATAACACATTCTCCACTTCAGTCTGAGTGGCCAGGGACCACTGTCCTGGATCGGGCCCGCCAGTATGCACGCCCGCTCCACACCCTGCGACGGCCTCAGTGCC